GCTTAAGTCTAGCGTCCTAATCATTGAGCCACGAGTTCGAAAACGTGCCCGTGGTTCAATAGGAGGAGCGCGGGACTTCGAATCAACAGGTCGTGGGTTCAAGTCTCGGCCGGTGCACCACATGGGGTTCGGTATGACTGGCTGATGACAACTAGTAAGCCAGAACTGGACATTTTAGTCTCTCTTGTCTTTGTCGGCAATCGTTCTCGGACGATGCTTTACCCATTCTCGAGAGGAGGTCTGTAGCTGTATTCCACTTGCTCCTAACATCCATTTTATCTGGTATTTTATTTACAGTGGAGAGAATGATAAATAACCAACTAGCAATTATAAACGTTTTGAATCACTGTGCAGCTAACGGGAGCCTTGGTACGACGGCATAAATAAAAAATCACCGCCGGGCGCCAGGTTCTGATCTACAACAGTAATCAAGCCTTATGGCATAAACGTAACGGCAGGCGAATACTCTACAAGGAAGCAGATATTCATCGCAACCGAGCAGGTGTTGAAATTGACAAACTGCATTACCTTCGGCGAATGTCTCCTTCCAAAAACTGCTTCTCCCGCCTTTTAGACACCAGCAGAAAATTCAGACCAATTATAAGGCCAACGGCAGAACCGCCGAACACCCGGCAGGCGCTAAGATATATCAAGAATGGATTCGCATCAGTTGTTCGTCTCTTATTAAAATTAGAGATGGGCGTCGCATACAAGCCCCAGGCAGCCATAAACACTCTGTCTAAGAACGCTTAGATCCGCCTCCCCCGTGCTACGAGGCGAAACGGGCAGTACCACTTGTCGTGTTTCCAGTGCCGACCCTATGAAATTAATTACTCTGGAGAGAGAAAGAGAGAGAAGAACTGAGCAACTTTCGATGGTGGCGGAAAATGTTGCGTAGTCTGGACACGCTTTGGTCTTCTAGGACGTCAAAACCCTACGTCGAGGAGACGCCTAAACAATCAGCCAAACGTTCCAATCCCGACATCTTGGTGCAACCGCCAGCCACTCTGCGGCTTACTAAACACTACGTGTGTAGCTAAATCGGCGGAACTGAAGACAGGAAAGGAGACAGCCCACGGTCGTTAACACTTAGTGAAAACACAGGTGGGTGTGGACGGCTTGAGAGACCAAGGAAAACGCGAACATCCTGTCTGGTTTGATTGACGCTGTCATGAACCCTGGGCGCGAGGATCACCAATCAAATATGAACAGAGATATAACCACTAGCGTATCCCTCATCGGCCACATGTGTGCGGACAGATGCAAAGGATGGACCTGCCACAACAAATTC